TGGTTTAATTTGCCATACTGACTTCGAAAAATGCGTGATTTCATTAAAAAAAACCATGAACATGCCAAAATGTCAATTTACAAATCAATAGCGTGTGTGTCCACCTCTGGTTGCGATGCAAGCCACACATCTTCGTCTCATGGAATGGACCAGGCGTCGCAGTCCTGTGGGATATCTGTCCATATCTGTTGGAGCATGTTTCGAAGTTCCTGGAGTGTCTGTGGATCTCGTGGTTGACGTCGAAGACGCCGATCCATCTCATCCCACATGTGCTCGATTGGTGAGAGATCAGGGGAGCAAGCCGGCCAGGGGATGACATTCACGTTGTTTTGTTGAAGAGAATCCTGAACAAGTCGAGCAATATGAGGCCGGGAGTTGTCATGTTGAAAGGTAATGCCAGGACCATGACGACGCAAAGACAGTAGAACAACCGGGCCGATGATCTTGTCGCGGTAGCGCTGTCCATTGAGATTTCCCTCAACCATTATCAAACGGGTCCTGTCTTGCTGTTATCCCATCCAATACCATAACGCTGCCGCCCCCGAACCGATCTTCTTGCATGACACAATGATTGACGTAAGTTTCACCACGACGTCGGTTCACTCGAATCCGTCCATCGCTGTGGCTGAAGTGAAAACGAAACTCGTCAGTGAATAGAACTTGTCCCACTGCATGGCCTTCCAGCGTAGACGCTGTCTGCATCACTGTAGACATGATGACTGTGGCTTCCTGTCAAAATGGGACGTCTGGCGGGTCTTCTGGCAACAATACCTGCACATCTGAGGCGACGACGTACGGTTTGTGAAGATATTCGTCGAAGGCCAGGGATGCTTCTTGCAGTCACTGTTGCTGGCTGGAATCGATTTCGTAGGTGCGTTGTTGGAATCCAATTGTCTTGTCGATTATTGGTTACGCGTGGCCTGCCACTCCGAGGATGGCCTCTGACTGCATTCGTCGGTTGCCAACGTTGCCAACGTTGCAACGTGATGTTAAACCGTTGCAAGACAAAAACACTATTTGGTGTTTCTGTCTTGCAACGGTTTAACATCACGTTGACTCGATCCTGCTTCAAGCATACCAATGGCTGGCAGACGCTCATTTTCGGACAGGCGTGGCATTTCGTCATGTTGAATAATTGCGTAATTTGGTTGTGTTTCTGAGTGGTTGTTGTCAGCACGATGCTAAACAATGCATATGGAATCCCGTTAACGCACGTGTTTTTACACCCATTCTTGGGTAGTGAAAGGCATGGGGCTTGCAGAAAAGTCAACTTTTGCATGGAATGCAAGCTTTTCTGTCGCGTTTTTGTGACTTGATTCCATACATGTACTACAATATTGAAAACCAAACTTTACTTGTTTGAAAAATACACTAAAATATTGGTGTCACAGGAACTTTTGTTGTTGAGTATATCTTAATGACCTGTAAGTAATGAACTGCGTTTTGCTATTTTAATACATTACAATACAGCACGAAACATTGAGAAAAATAAAAACAAAGTCATTAACATTGAATGCCACTGACAATAAGTTTAATACTTACAATGAGTGATCTTCATTAATACTTCCGATTGCGTAGTAAATACATTAATTACGATGTTACAGTTTAGCCCGACATTCATATGTCGACACATATTAATGATTAGATCCTCAGTTGCAAAAAATAATCCCGAATCCCGACAGTGACAAAACGTTTCTATGTTCTTCAGAAATCTCTGCTGAAGGCAGGGTTGCTTATATTGAGCATGTGTTTATGAATCTTCATCACATAGTGATGATACCAGGTGTTTTCGAAAAGGTAAGCGCACCCTGTCAGCAGGCACTCGTCACAAACACATGCAAAGGCAAGTCAAGTGGTCATCTGAAAATACACGGGAACATATGGTACAAGTCCAAATAGGGAATTGCATCGGACATCATTTTTGTCACTGATGAGTCAAATTTGGAAATGTCCTCTACATGTCTACAATAAAACCTTTTGAAAGCTTTACCGAGGGGTTGAATGTTGTACTCTTGATCAAACAGCTTCTGAGCATGGTTCGTATGACGCTGTTTGAAATTCTGTTCGAAAAACATACATTACAATTCAAGCATTAGTACGAAGGCTTGTTCTCAAATAATGTCAACATGCGGTGTCAGTGTGAGCGAGTATGGTTTTACGCCGCTTTTAGCAATATTCCAGCAATATCACGGCATGGGACACCAGACATGGGCTTTACATATTGTACCTATGTCGGGAATCGAACCCGGGTCTTCGGCGTGACGAGCGAACGCTTTAACCACTATGCTACCCGACCGCCCCTACACCGAATAGACACAATGATGAGGTAGCGTTCACTCTTCACCACTTGCACTGACGTTGATAGTAATGGAAGATTGGCGAAGAATGAGTGATGGCATCAGGGACCTCGGTCCACGTCTTGGATTTTGTGTAACAGGTACGTAAGCGGAAATCACGGTTGACAGCCTTGCAAAGATACTTCTTCGTTTTCAGACATCTCTTCATGCAGTGGCTTAGTGTCTTGAAGTGAATAGTTTTGGCATTATATCCAAAAAGCACATGGTTCTTGTATTCTAAGAACTCATTGCTGAAGGTCTTGCATTCTGAAATTAATGAAAAACACGAGTGTGAAGCTATGACATGATGAGTGAGTGAGTGAGTATGGTTTTACGCTGCTTTTAGCAATTTCCCAGCAAATATCATCAGTCTTGGGCTTCACATATTGATTGTTGTTGTTGGTTTGTTGTTTAACGCCGCACTCAGCAATATTCCAGCTATATGACGGCGGTCTGTAAAAAGTCGAGTCTGGACCAGGCAATCCAGTGATTGATATCATGAGCATTGATCAACGCAATTGCGAGCATGAACACCCGATCCATTTAGCGGTCAAGAAGCCACCTTCATCTGTAAATGGACGGGCATTATGTCCCTAACTTATACACATAAAAACACGCTCCAAATTCGATTCATGTATCTACAGAATTCAGTCTCTCAAAATGTAAACGGGGAACTTGTCGAATTTGTTATTATCTAGTTGAAAAATTCGTGTATAAAACCTGGACTTGACCCCTGAAGGTCCGGGGTAGAATAGGTCTTCAGCAACCCATGCTTGTCGTAACAGGCGACTCACGGAATCGGGTGGTCAGGCTCGCTGACTTTGTTGAAGCATGTCATCGATCCCAATTGCGTGGATCGATGCTCATTATATCAATCGCTGCATTTTCTGGTCCGGGCTCGATTATTTACAGATCGCCGACATATAGCTGGAATATTGCTGAGTGCGGCGTAAAACAACAAATCAACAACAACTTACCCGGACTTCTCAGCAAAAGGTGGTATTTAAGTTACAATATGCCAAGTGTGTCATGAGGAATACATTGGACAAACGGAGTGCAGAGGGAATGCGCGTCCATAAACAACAGATATAGGACCCTGAAACAACCCCCTTAAGCGCTCACATCGACAAATGCGCAGCAGGAAAGGAAATAAAATGTCAGATATTCCCTTTCTTTAAAATGTTTGTTTGTTTGTGGTTTAACGCCACTCTCAGCAATATTCAAGCTATATGACGGCGGTCTGTAAATAATCGAGCCTGGTCCAGACAATCCAGTGAGTGACATCATGAGCATCGATCTACACAATTGGGATACGATGACATTCAAAGAAGTAAGAAGCTCATGATGTCAATCACTGGATTGTCTGGTCCAGACTCGATTATTTACAGATCGCCGTCATATTGCTGAGTGCGGCGTTAAACAACAAACAAACAAACAAACAAACACACACTATCTAATTACCAGAAAGTAACCTGCATCTTTTTGTTGCGGGGTCAATGCTGTAACCTATTTCGCATTTACATATGCCACCAACACACTTGTACTCTGGTGTATGTTCAGTACTGTTGCCTGGTGTACGTTCAGTACTGTTGCCTGGTGTACGTGCAGTACTGTTGCCTGGTGTACGTTCAGTATTGTTGCCTTCTGTACTTGCAGTACTGTTGCCTGGTGTACGTTCAGTACTGTTGCCTGCTGTATGTTCAGTACTGTTGCCTGGTGTACGTTCAGTACTGTTGCCTAGTGTACGTTCAGTACTGTTGCCTGGTGTACGTTCAGTACTGTTGCCTAGTGTACGTTCAGTACCGTTGCCTGGTGTATGTTCAGTACTGTTGCCTGTTGTAGGTTCAGTACTGTTGCCTGGTGTACGTTCAGTACTGTTGCCTGTTGTAGGTTCAGTACTGTTGCCTGGTGTACGTGCAGTACTGTTGCCCGGTGCTTGTTCAGTACTGTTGCCTGGTGTACGTTCAGTACTGTTGCCTGGTGTACGTTCAGTACTGTTGCCTGTTGTAGGTTCAGTACTGTTGCCTGGTGTACGTTCAGTATTGTTGCCTTGTGTATGTTCAGTACTGTTGCCTGGTGTACGTTCAGTACTGTTGCCTGGTGTACGTTCAGTACTGTTGCCTTGTGTAGGTTCAGTACTGTTGCCTTGTGTAGGTTCAGTACTGTTGCCTGGTGTACTTTCAGCACTGTTGCCTGGTGTACGTTCAGTATTGTTGCCTGGTGTACGTGCAGTACTGTTGCCTGCTGTACGTGCAGTACTGTTGCCTGGTGTACGTTCAGCACTGTTACCCGGTGTACGTTCAGTATTGTTGCCTGGTGTACTTTTAGTACTGTTGCCTGCTGTACGTGCAGTACTGTTGCCTGGTGTACGTTCAGTACTGTTGCCTGGTGTACGTTCAGTACTGTTGCCTGGTGTACGTTCAGTACTGTTGCCCGGTGTACGTTCAGTACTGTTGCCTGGTGTACGTGCAGTACTGTTGCCTGGTGTACGTTCAGTACTGTTGCCTGGTGTACGTTCAGTACTGTTGCCTGGTGTACGTTCAGTACTGTTGCCCGGTGTACGTTCAGTATTGTTGCCTGGTGTACGTGCAGTACTGTTGCCTGGTGTACGTTCAGTACTGTTGCCCGGTGTACGTTCAGTATTGTTGCCTGGTGTACTTTCAGTACTGTTGCCTGCTGTACGTGCAGTACTGTTGCCTGGTGTACTTTCAGTACTGTTGCCTGCTGTACGTGCAGTACTGTTGCCTGAAATAAAATGACACCGAAATATCACTTGTATGTTATTTTCCACTAACAAACAATCAACAAAACACCAAGCTTGAACACTCTTTCATTTAGACCCTTACAAGTGAAGGTTACTATCCTATCCCCGTGAAGATCCGGGGTAGAATAGGTCTTCAGCAACCCATGCTTGTCGTAAAAGGCGACTATGCTTGTCGTGAGAGGCGACTAACGGGATCGGGTGGTCAGGCTCGCTGACTTGATTGATGCATGTCATCGTATCCTAATTGCGTGGATCGATGCTCATGATATTAATCACTGGATTGTCTGGTCCAGACTTGATTATTTACAGACCGCCGTCATATAGCTGGAATATTGCTGAGTGCGGCGTAAAACAACAAACAAATCAAATCAAATCAAAATCTTTTGCTTACGCTAGGCCTGTGATGCGAGTAAGATAATCTGTGCATAAGGTTTGATATATCTATCTATTTTTTAAGAAATCATTAAATTTGTAATGTTTTTTCTGCATATTAATTTCTCTTATTCACATAGCTATCAAGTTCTAGTGGGATGTGTCGTTCTCAATACCAGGGACACGTGAAGATCCGGGGTAGAATAGGTCTTCAGCAACCCATGCTTGCCGTAAAAGGCGACTATGCTTGTCGTAAGAGGCGACTAACGGGATCGGGTGGTCAGGCTCGCTGACTTGGTTGACGCATGTCATCGATCCCAATGGCGTGGATCGATGCTCATGATGTAAATCACTGGATTGTCTGGTCCAGATTCGATAACTTACAGACCGCCGTCATATAGCTGGAATATTGCTGAGTGCGGCGTAAAACAACAAACCAAACCAAAGAAATGCTAAAAGCAACTACAATCACAACCGTGAAGATTTGAATTGAGTTAGAATAGGTCCACAGCAACCCATGCTTGCCTTAAAAGGCAACTGACCTTGTCCGTAAGAGGTGACTAACAGGATCGGGTGGTCAGACTCGCTGACTTGGTTGATGCGTGTCATCGTATCCCAATTCCGTTGATCGATGCACATCATGTCAATGACTGGATTTTCTGGTCCAGACTCGATTATTTACACAGGCTGCCGTCACACAGCTGGAATATTGCTGAGTGCGGCGTTAAACAACAAACAAACCACTACAATTACCTTTACCAGAATCTATCCTTCGGTGAAGCTCTGTTGTTGTAGGATCAGGGCTTATGCCTGAAAGTAAACAGACACTCAAGAAAATTTATTTCCCACACTGTTGTGAATTGTTTTCTCTCACATTGTGTTTGTCCTACAAATTTCACAAGTTTAACCTTTGAAATTCGTTTTATCAATGGTATAATTTTTAAAAATCACATTAAATGTCTGAGTTGTTTTGTACTTCGCTTAAATGAAGTCAGCTGGCCTGAAAAATGAAACAGAAGATTTTCTGTTTGCTGCTCAGGACCAGTCACTTCCCACTCGAAACCGTCAATATGTTATATGAAATGTAGATGATATAGATTTAATGAGACTATCCAGCACATTGTCAGTGGATGCCCAGCTGTGGCACAAACACAGTATCTTAAGCGACATGATAGAGTGGCTCGATGCATTAATGCGTTTGGTTTTGACACAGAGGTCTATTAATGGTACGACCCAGAATATGTAGAGAGCGCAATGGAAAATGATAGATATAAGATTCTTTGCAATACGCCCGTACACAGCCTCAGATCTATCGAGGCCAACAAACATGATCTTGTCCTATTGATAAATCCAATGAAATCATTTATATCATTGAATGCCCTGTCCCTTTTGACAATAATGTGCTTGACAAGAAATAGTATGGCAAATAGGCGGATCTCCCTTATGAAATGTCATGCTTGCATCCAATGTGTCAAGTGCCTCAGTTTGGTACCTCCCAATCTGTTGAAAGTACCCGGGTTTGCCAGGAATACAGCCCTTCTGACAATCTGGGTAATGCAGAAGGCTGCAGTGAACAAGGTGAGTTGTTGGATGTTGGTTTGTTGTTTTACGCCGCACTCAGCAATATTCCAGCTATATGACGGCGGTCTGTAAATAATCGAGTCTGGACCAGACAACCCAGTGATTGACATCATGAACATCGATCCAAGCAATTGGGATCGATGACATGCATCAACCAAGTCAGCGAGCCTGACCACCCGATCCCGTTTGTCGTCTTTTACGGCAAACATGGGTAATTTACCCCGGATCTTCACAGGTCTTACAAGCGGTGTCTTCACATTCTCCGAAAAGTTCTCCGTGGAATAGACTGCTCAGTGCTGGGCTGTTTGTACATGTAGAGGGGACAAGGGCTCTTAGATGATGATGAGCCTAACCAGTACCATGATCACCAATACCCTTTTTGCTGCATCTATCTATTTTAATCTGTATAATAATAACAACAAAAACAACAACGACAACAGCAACAGCTATCAACTAAAAAGCAAGTACCTTTCTCATTACCAGGATCTCTTTGGTCAGACCCAGTCCCTGTGTGGCGCATGCTTATGTCTGAAAGTAAGGTGATACATAGAGGATTCATCACGAGTGTTTTTTAATATGGGAAATATCAACCGAGTCTTAGTTAATCGGTATTTGCCGAGCCTTTGGCGAGGCAAATACCGATTAACGGGACGAGGTTGATATTTCCCATATTAAAAAACACGAGTGATGAATTCTATTTATCATTTTCAAATTTTTGCTTCCAAATTAAGGAATAATTGCATTAAACATTAACATCAGCAACTTGTCGAAATCTTACGTATAGATCGTGCGTAGTGATACATGTTTTCCATAGCCATGTAAACCAAAATAAACAATTCGCTGAGAAAAAAAGTTCCTCGGATTATTTTAAACAAAATACTTGAACAGACTTTTGCAGAATAATTGAAACTTTAATAACGGTAACAACAACGGTTCTGTGTAATCTGATTATATCTCTGGTGTAACTTCACTTATGATATATAGTTTCAAATCAAACCGCTCCCTCTTCCGGTTATCTAATTTGCATATCTAATTTGCATACTTATGTCATTGGGGTATGACATACATGTTTTTATGTCATAAGCTTATGTCATGGATAAATGCTTAAGTTAAATGATAAATAAACATATTAAACGCTAAACAAACACATGCTGTGGAGGATTTCGTTCCTTTACTTACATTACGTCTTTTGTTAACATTATATTTTGATTGAGGTTTGATATAACCATCTCTTTCTTTGAGGCATATCATTGAGTGTCTCAAGATTATGAAATGGAACATTTGCTTATTCCACTTATATGTGTTTTTGTTGTTAATATATTCAGCTATTTCATACACGTTAAACAAACGGTATTTATTGTTGACTCGTGTATATTGTTCAGCTGTACAACTGTTTCGCTAGAAACGTTTTGCTTTTATTTAAAACTAGAATTTTCACTGTCCTGGAAAGAACTTTTGTTGCAAGAGAACAGGTCAAATTAAATTGAAGTGTTTACTGATTAAAGTCAGACATGACAGTATCTTAATATATTTTGGACATTATTTGCTCATTTATTGTCCCTATAAATACTTGGTACAGTAGGGTTGGTTAATTGGTTGGTTTGTTGTTTAACGCCGTACTCATCAATATTCCAGCTATATGACGGCGGTCTGTAAATAATCGAGTCTGGACCAGACAATCCAGTGATTAATATCATGAGCATCGATCCACGCAATTGGTTGGTGGTTGGTTGGTTGGTTTGTTGTTTAACGCCGCACTCAGCAATATTCCAGCTATATGACGGCAGTCTGTAAATAATCGAGTCTGGACCAGATAATCCAGTGATTAATATCATGAGCATCGAAGTTTAAACCCAATCGAACAACTGTGGGATGCATCAGATCAACGATCAGCAAAAAACGCAGAACCTTTGTCAGTTGGCACAAGCACTGCAGGCACAGCGAGTGAACATTCCCCAGTCTACAATTCCGGGTCTGATTACTTGCATTGGACGACGATGCCAGTCAGTTTTGAACTTGATATTGAGAACAGATGACTATCATCTTGAAAATCTACTGTTCCATGCATGCCATATTGACCCTTCGTCAATGACGTTGATGTGTGCCAATTTTGAACAATCGATTACCATCTGTTGATTATTTATAGGATATATCAAATATACATCGAAAATCACTTTTGCTTTCTTTTAGTGCAGAGTACATTGGAGAATTTGTTTGTTTATAAATGTTATTTTTGTGTTTTCCACGCTCCTTTGCTATTATAATCACATAATCTGTGTTGTTTGATTCTTAGCTCACCTGGCAAAAAGTAAGGTGTGACTGTGTCACGACCTGCTGTTCCGTCGTATGCGTATGTAAGCATATGTCCCCAGAAAGCAGAGTATCAATGAAACTTAGTCCCCACCAAAATTGACACCTGAATTTTAGTTACAAAGAATAGCCGCCATGGCAATCGTATTGGGAGACCCCAATACATGCCATAATAAGAACAATAAATAATGCCAAGGTCACGAGAAAGAAACTTGGGACATGACTTCATATTGGAATCACTCCGATAATTTATTTTTAACTTGTTTTTTTGTCAATAAGACAATTTGTCCTTGAGACATTTTGCAGGTGCAAACAATGAATCGTTACGTTTACAGACGATTCTTTTGTAAAAACAATATTCGACTCTTACTTCGACTGGACGGATGGCAGTATGGGCCCGGTCCTATCAATCGGCTGGTCATGTCGAGCCCAGTGCATTATTTGTATTTGCACGAAAACTGAATTCACATGTACATTTACTTTAGGTCTTTGGCCAATTGTTTATCTAATAAAACTTGATTTTGGATTCTGAAAACTTTCAGACGCCTTGAGTCGTATGCCCAGAAGGTGGTGGATCATGGGTCAATCTGGTGGGCTACATTACGTTTTACGTAATTCGTCTGCTTGAGGATACCATTCCAGTATCCTTGGTGCAGCCATTTGGAGATCCGCGTATACTCCGTGGTGGGTGGGGAGCTGGGATTGTGAACCAATTGCAACTTCTAAATGGCG